AAACTCTTTTACTTTTTTTATTAAATCTTCTCTTATAATTTGAGACTTACAATAAGTTATTAACTCTTGAAATTAATTACATATATATTACATTATATTGTATACAATAATTAATTGGTATGCCACGGCCCTTACCCAAACTATTATATTTAAGGCTGATTTAGAGTTTATAATGAAAAAAAATGAACTGAAATATATTCAAAATAAAGTTATCTGCTAGATCTGTTCTTTTTACGTGAAATCTCATGATAGTCATTTCTTTTCAAGACGATTTACATATGCATGTAGCTTTATAAATATTGGGGTTTGCATTCCTAATGTACCACGGAGCCCTTTTCACAAAAATTTTCAACTGTACTCTTTGCAAGATTGCATTGTTTGATAACTGGCGTTGGAGACTATGTATCCAAATTGTTTTAATAGTACTCTTGGAACCAGTGGCGTAACTACAGGGAAGCAACTGGAAGCAACGCTTTCGGGCCCCCGAATTTAGGGGGCCCCACTATAAATTTTTGTATTCATTGTATTTCTTTTTAATAAATTCTCAAAAGTGGGACGAAACGTTTTTTGTTGGAATAACTTCATATTGCATTTTATAAAAGATACGTAAATTTTAAATTTAAAGTACATAATATGCATGTACTTCAAATAAAATATTAAACCTATTTATGAAATAAAAAAGTTTTTCTAAGAAAAATATGTGTCTTGATCGAGAGTTTATATGGAAGCTATATCTAAATTTAAACCCATTTGAAAATAATTTTGTACGTTGTCTTTTGCAAATATCAGTACTGTATACACCATATTCCATTTGAATACCTTTATTAAAAACGGAGAAACCTTATATCCGATTGTTAAGTTTATATCACAGCTACAAGAAATAGACGTCCAATTTCAATCAAATCAAATGGTGAACAGGGTGCGCTCCCGAAAAGTATGTGTATAAAGTTTTATTCGAAGAGTTCAAAAGCTGAGAGAGTAGTTTGAACTGTAAAAGTATACTGATATATACTTAATGGTATTTCCGAAGTTTCCTTTAATGCGTTACGAAAATCTTGACAAACCTTATATACCCTTTTTACATTTTTTCGTGTAAAGAGTATAAAAAGAGGGGCCCCTTAGTATGTTGGTAGGGGCCCCTTAGTTAGAATTTGCTTACAGGCCTAAAAAATGTAGTTACGCCACTGCTTGGAACTTATATTCTAAACTGAAAAGAGTTTGACTGTTGCACTGCTCATACTGATAAAACAAAAATTAAGAACGGTTTAATAATTTGTCACTAATTTAAATACTCTGATAGGATCTTTTCCTTAGTCAAGTTATTTATCTAATCCTGATTTTTGGATAAAAAATAGACATGGTACCGGCTCTGAACGCAGAGGAGCACCGCGACCGTAGACCATAGTTGATCTTTTGTGCTGTTTTAATATTTTATATAGTTTTCTCCAAATCTATTTATGAAATCTAAAAATTAAATTTGTTGTTCCAAAAAATAATTGCTATTTGAAGAAACGCAGCAATCGGTATACACAGTGATATAAATTTAATTAACACCTACATTTAATATGAATGTTCAGTAGAAATAATTTGTTTAATTTATCTCAATAAGCTGTTGATTTGTTCAAAATTAATCCAATAAACTGGAAATATATTTCAGGAAAAAATTCTCTTCATTGACAGATACGTGTGCGCAAATATCTTCAAAATTTGTAATTTAATGAGTTCGAAAGTAGGTGAACTGATTGGATTAATGAAATGTTAAAAATATCAATAAACTTTTTACTTGTAGAAATGTTCAAAAATTGATTTAGGATAGAAAAATCATAATATTTAATTGAATTAAGCCTCACTTTCTTTCTGTGACCTTTAAAAGTGATCGTAAATTCTAATTTGATTTTATTAACTATGAAAGTGAATTTTTAAAGATTTTGCAAAAATTAAAAAACAAACACTTTCGTTTGAAATTATTAATCGAAAATCAAAAATCAGAAATCAAAAGGCCGAGCTATCTTTGAGATTATTTCAAAAATGAGTGTTTGTAGCTTAAGTCTTTTGCTTAGTTGCCTACGCAATGTGTGTATGTGAGTTAACTTATCTGATCGCAAACAATATCTCATTTATGTTTATATATTCACCACTTCTGTATATACTATTTGCATATATAAACTGATTAAAAAATAAACAAAACTCTCAAAATCTAAATTAATGACGTAGATAAAAATCACACATGTCCATTGACAAAACAGACCAGTTTTTTGCTCGCAAAAAAAAAACAATAAATAAATAAATAAAACAAGATAAAAATAATGTAAGAGAAATATTTAAAACGGTTTTATTTATATGCTTAATTATTTACAATATACAAAGTATATAGTACATAATAATATATAAATTATACTAAAAACTGGTAAATGAAATACAACAATTTGAGATAATATTTCAAGTTTATCGCATGGTTTTTTGGCCAAACAAAACAAAATCATTAAATGATGAGCACAAAACCAAGATTTTAACACAGATGAGCTGACTTAGTCAGCTCTGGACTGTTAACTAGTGAAGTTAAATAATAGTTAATGTGTATTTTATTATAACATAAAAGTCGAAAATTTAAGTGAAGTTTCAATATGAATTGCTTACTGCTAATGGTCAGTTTTTTAATATAATTTTGTAATAAAAAGATATACGACACAATTACAATTATTATTAAATATATATAATATATATTTACAACTCTATATCTATCTCACAGCTCATTTTAGCAGTGGCTTTACAAGCTATAAATGCTAAACCGCAGTTATTAGATCCGTAAGTTGTATGAATAAATAATTAAACGTTGAAAAAAGCATTGAAAAAGTTAAAGAAAAAATTTTAATAATTTTTTTTTGTAGAACATATTCAGATGACGACCTTTTAGCGGAAGAATCTAACAATTATCAAAATTTTGGAGGCGCAAGTTCGTATAGCTTTGCCAGTAGCTCCGCTAGTAGTAGTGGTAGTAGTTCAAGCAGTAGTAGCGCAAGCAGTAGCAGCGGTTTTGGTGGTAGTCCATTTGATGACTTTGGTTTTATGCATTTTGGCTTTCCAAATCATTATCAACCATACTATGGTGGCTTCATGCAACCATTGCCTCCATTCGGAGGTTCGCTCAATTCATTACTTTTATTTATTTGCGTGGGGGGTCTTCCATAAGTTTTTCGTAATTTGCAACAAACATTCATTATTAAAATTAACAAGTGTGTAATGACTTTCGTACATGAGAAAGTCATTAAGTACGACTTTGAATTACGATGCATTATAATAATTGAAGGATTGGAGATAGTGTTGTTCTAATAAAGACAATGCAAAATGTAGTGAATCCAATTAATATATTTTAAAGCTTAGATCGATGACAAATCTAAAATCAAATTTCCTATTAAAATTGAATTTTAGTGATAGGACAACAGTTTTTTTTAGAAGTTAAACTATGAGATTGAAAAAATATGCTTTCCAGCTCAGCTTCGATATAGATATATACATTAAGACCGAAAAGTTTTCGGAAATTCTCATTTAAAATTCGCGCGCTGTATATTTTTCGATATTTTAAGTTTATGTAGTTTGGCAGCACTGTCCTTAATTACTATGCCAAAAATGAGCGCGATCTGTCAGACAGTTCGTTTACGGCAGCTGTTGAAACCAGTTCACCTCAGTAGGGCGTTGCGAAAAAAACAATGGAAAAAAATATTGAACAAAGAGTTTGCATCAAATTTTGTGTTTCGAACGAAATTTCGTGTGCAGAATCGTTGCGAATGCTACAAAAGGCTTATGGGGAATCAGTTTTATCGAAAACTCAAGTTTATGAGTGGTACAAAGCCTTCCAGGACGGTCGTACGACCGTCGAAGACATTTCGCAACGCACTACTGAGGTGAACTGGTTTCAACAGCTGCCGTAAACGAACTGTCTGACAGATCGAGCTCATTTTTGGCATAGTAATTAAGGACAGTGCTGCCAAACTACATAAACTTAAAATATCGAAAAATATACAGCGCGCGAATTTTAAATGAGAATTTCCGAAAACTTTTCAGTCTTAATGTATAGTAAATGTATGCATATTATGTTTGTATATATTATACGTATATTTAATATTCGATTATTAGGCAGTATCATATCTATAATTTTATATAGTTTTTCAAATCTCTAAATTTAATAACACAAATAAAGTATGCGCTGGTTTTGGGGACCCGTCAGTTAAGACAGGACAACAGGGTGAATTCCAGATTTCTCTGCATTTCAATAGATGTTTCTAAAACAATACTGGTGAAGTATATTTGTCAGTTTCCAAGCATCTGTCCTTCAGTAAAAATTAAAAAAATTTTCGATTTGAAAAGTTCCTTACACTTACTGCCTCCGCTATTTAAAGTATATGTTTTAATAAAAATGAATTCCGGATAGCTATTAATTCTGGAATAGACTATATTGATTTGTTTATCAAATTTTCGATACATCGACTATCACCGATAATCATTAATAGGAATACAATTAATTGTATTTATGAAATTATATTTATATCCTATATTTTAGGTTGGTAGTAATATCGATATTATTGTACATTTTTATTCCATAATGTGGGTTTAATACACAACTAAACTTTTTCATTTATCATTTCATAAAAACCTGCGACAACTTTTGCTATAAGAACCAACACAATATTGTATATAGTCATCTAATTACATTGATAATTATATATTGCTTTAATAAAATATACATCATTTATACTCAAAGCATTTAGTTTGTGAAACCTATTTGGTTCGTACTACTAAAAACATTCACTGAAATATGTGAATTTTGTTCACATATGTTAATTTTATTTTTTCAGAAGTCACTCTATATCGATTAATTTTAGTTAAGAACAAGTGAATTTTCGATTTATTTTTTTTTATTTTTCATGTTTATTTTCTCGAAACGAAGAATTTGTTTTTTTTCTTTTGTTTTTTATATACAATTTTTTCGAACATTAGTCCATACATTTAACGCTAATACTATCAGGTCTTCATAAATTTATAACTGTTAATAGTTTGCTTATAGAGTACTTATTAATTTGGAAGACTCCTTACTATTAACACGGTTATTAAATAAAACAATATATAAACTTAAAAAAAAATTTTCTTACTAGGACGTCCAGGCTACCCACCACCACCACCTCCGCCTCCACCTAAGCAACCGCCACGAAATAATAATAACAAAAATCCATTTGTAACACCAAATCGTCCAGGAAATGTAAATCAAAAACAAGTAAGACCAGGACATCCACCACCGCCACAAAATGCCAACAATAAAAACAATAATAGACCCCCACCGGTTTGTATTTTTTCTATTAGAATATTAAAGTAAACTATTAAAATAAAAAAAATTGTAGATACGACCAGGACAACAGCCTCCGCCATTAATTAACAACAACAATAATAATAATAAAATTACAAAGGTTTTTATTTTCATTTTTATTATTTATTTAAGATTATATATTCTCACAAGTTCATATTGTTAGGTATCAATCAATTGAAACTAAATAATTACTATTTATCTATTTATTTTATAGGTACGGCCAGGACAGCAGCCTCCGCCTTTTAATAATAATAACGGAAATAACAACAAGAATCCACAGGTTAACATTATATTCACATATATAAGAATCAGTTAATTTAATTTATAATTCTTAAACAGATATTCAATCCAGTACCACAACATCCGGGACACAATCCAACACCACACAATCCAGTACCATACAATCCAGTACCATATAATCCAGTACCACATAATCCCGTACCACAAAATCCGGAACCATACAATCCAGTACCACACAATCCTGTGCCTACAAATCCACAAGTTATACAACCCGTTCCAGTTAATCCTATAGTTGACCCAACTATACCATCTCAACCGACATCAGGAACAGGAGATTCACCTGTATTTCAACCTCGACCACCTGTAAATGTACAACCAACAAAACCAGGACTCAATGGTCTTATTGATTCGATATTTACAACTCCATCTAGTAGGATAACTCCAGGTCCAGCAACTCTTACATCAACCACAACTGAAGAACCTTTCTACGACATTGATATAAGAGTAGGGGACTAATGTTAAAATAAAGTAAATCTATATGTTATATATAAGATACTTTTCAATGTAAAGAAAATATCAAAAGAATTCGAAATGTGTTGTTTAAAAATCGTAATATATATTGATCGTATTTTTATACTGAAAAATATATACGATAATATGAAATAAAATAATAAAATATAATATTATGGCTCATATGTTTATTTGTCAGTAGACTTTGAAAGTAGTTACAGCTAATAACTAGTTTCAAGTGGTTGGTTTAAGTGGTAACAGTCAGAGAGCCCAATATACGCTTCTGTATTGTTTTGATGCTATACCCACGTTGCTATTTATTTCTTTGTTTATAGGCAGTTCAATTAAATTTAGTTCCTGCGGTTTAAGAACCTTTGCAGCTCAAGATTATTATAGAGTGGCCTACCTAAGTTGGCTCTTTTCAAAACGTAGAAAATGCACAGAGGTAATAATTTTCTATTTATATACCTATTTGCATCTATGACAGTGAGGATTATGAGAGATGTCCATTTTGTTGGGCTGTTCTCTAATAGCCCAGTAATTACTGGTGTATATACATGCCTTTTATTCTTGCAATAAAGACTGCTTGAGATTATATTCAGGCAACAGGGTCTAACACGCCATGTTTTTCCTCAACTGGCGACTATTTGAATATATTTGATGTTAACAGCTCTTTGGGCTATACTTAGTGTCATACGATCTGATTCTGCATGAGCTTCTTGCTTGGGAGATCCATTTCTTGCTAGTTCATTAGCTCTTTTGTCTCCCCCAATATTTCAATGTCCTGGAACTCAGGATATCATTGTGCCTTTCACTCGAAGTAGGTCTAGTAGGTGACTATGGCTGAATGCTAAGCATGAATTGTAAACTAGTTATACGATAAATTAGCGATGTTTTTTTCGTGTGTATAGTTTAAGACAAGCAACCTGGTAGTTTTTACCTAATGTCAAGGTCCAAGTCTAAATAAACCTAATTAAAAGAGTTATGCACTTACTTAAGTAGAATCTTCACTTTCAGATTTGAGCCAAAAGTTCATTTCAAACGAACTTATTGTTATTACTTTTGGTTTACAGATTTTATGATATTGGATTCAAATAGAGTATTATTATTCTAAAATTGAATAAATATTTCGATATTTATTACAAACTTCAAAAAAAAACATTAAATATTTTATTTTTGTTATATTTTTTAAGATAATAAACTTAGAACATTTTCTCTTATCAAAATTTCTCACAGTGTTGGTTTATCATGTTTCATTTTTGGAGATACATATTCTAACAAGATGATAACTGCCACTACATTTAATTTTAAAATAGTTTTAAAAACTACTATTACTAATACTTATCAAAATTTATATATCGATCAAATTTAACAAATGATATACGATATCAAAATGTGTGTAATAAATTGTTATCTACATCAATATAATGACAATTTGAAACATTTTCTAATCATTTGAATCATTAAACTTGTGTAATATCACCAGTTACACCTTAATGGTTTTATATTAATATAATATCATCAATTACAGCTTAATGGTTTTATATATTAAGACTGAGACTGTGACAACACAGAGCGCACACCTTCTTTTACTGCAATAGGTGACTCACAAATAGAGAAGAGATAATAGCACAGATTGGAGCTATAAATCTCGAAAATATGTTGGAAAAGATGACCGCGAACCCAGAGAGTCGGCGAACGATAAAATCATATGTGATTCAAGTCCTTAAAACGAAGAAATTAGACCTAGAAAGGGGAACCAGAAACTAAAATAATAAATAATGCTGATACCAAAAAAATGTGGTGAAAGTGTGGAGGTCTAGACGCAGATTGAAAATCACAAGAGCGTGGCTTGAAATGCCAACATAAAAGAGACCCTTCTTGAAGTAATGCGAGAGCGGTTGCGAGGGGAAATATGTCTCGCCGAAGAGGAGGTATTTTAGTCCGTATACTACATATTAATGTTAGGAAACGGTCGGTTTAAAGATGCATAAAGCATTTCATCTCTTCACCACAAAAAAAAAACAAAAAAAACTTTACTTTACTTTACTTTACTTTATCTTCGTATTTATCAAAACTTTGAACGAGGATTGTATCAGTAGGATAAAGATCAATACTCCTCATACCTTATTCCTCTCCAAATCAAAAACCTTTTTATACATTATTCTGTCTCTTTTTACAATACAATGAACTTTTTGTAAACTTGAGACAACTTTATTCTTTTGGTTTAAAATAAAAGCAGAGAAATTGCATTCACTATAATAAAAATAAATCATTGGAGCATGTCCCTAAAACAAAATAAACAAAACAGTGAAATTATATACCACAATATCTTTTATCTTAATCGCTTAGGACATTTAACAGAACAAAAGTCCGAAACCGCAAAAGTAACGCAATATCGTAAACACAATATGTATGAGGAATCACCAAAAAAAAAATGAAATAAAATCTACAGAATGACAAAGTAACCGTAAACAACTACAGAATGATAAGATACAAAAACATATAATATATACACAAGCACATATGTATCTGAATATAAATATAACTTAGAGCACTAATTTACAGATAAAAAAAAATTGAATTTAAAATTATGCATAAAATAAATTGTAACAAAATAAAAAATGAAATCGAAGACAGATTTAAACTTCATAAATAAATAAATAATATAATAAATAAAAAAAAAATATGAAAAGAGCTTAAAGTGAAATGAACAAAACAGAACGAGAGGAAACGCACCCCGAACTCAGATACTCGTTAATCGAGTATCTTTTTTATTTTGTATCTTTTATGAGCCAAGTCAAGCCAAGCCAGCCAGCAAAATTGCATTGAACAAATTTCACAAGGCTTAAGATATCGCAATAAAGAAAGAATTTACAAATGCGTGAGGAGCTTACGTATTCTATTGAGCTCAGCACTGAAATGTTGCGATTTGTATAAAAACCTCAAGCCGCTATGGGGCAAACGTCATTTGACTGAAGATACTCGTTGGTGAAGCATGGGTAAGAGTCGCGCCTGTAATGGGAAGTTTTAAATAAGAAATTTCTAATTTCTTTCTTCTAAATGTGAACTAGTTCAATATCAGTTTAATAAATGTTTTTAGTGTGAAATCTATAAAAATTTAAAATACTTCTCATTTAGTAAGAAAATTTGTGAAAAGAAAATCGGTTAACGAACTTCGAATGTTGAAAGTGCATTGAATATCAAATGAAAACGTGTGCGATACCATCGATGTAAACTAACTTTTAATAAACAATATTGTCTTATGGACATTAACCTTAGAGCAACCAAAGCGGTATCCATAAAGTCCATAAAACACGTAAATGGTAGTAATAAATTATTTCAAAAAAAATACAAAATAAAGAAGTGATGTGTTGAATATTAAAAAACTTATTTGAAGTTTTGCAGAAAAACCTTATGAAAATTTCAAAAGTTTTGTTTACATATGAGGGGATTGGTATAATCATTAATTTTTCAATAATTATACCATAATTAAATACTTTAAACAGCCTAAATAATTTAAAATTAAAAAAAAAAATGTTGCAAGAATTACAAAAGTATTTATTTCATCTATATCAGATGAAATCCAATACTAAGATTTTAAACTAAAAACAGAATTAATATTTTGTACTATTTCTGCACCCATTCTAAGAAAATCGTAGAGCAATATATATAATATATAAATATTTAAAAAATTAAAATTATTAAATTGAAAATTTAAATTTTATTTAAATAATTACTTTAAATTTTAGAATTATTAATTAATTTAAATTTTAAAATTATGATTTAAAATTTATAAAATTAATTTAAATTTTAAAATTAGTAATTTAGTATTTAAAATTATTAATTTAAATTTTAAAAATTTTAAATTTAAATTCTATAATTAATAAAATTGCGCATTTTCGTAGAAAACATAGTTTTTATTATATTAATTATCTAATATTAACATTCAAATACATTACTTTATTAATTTTTAATAAAAATATAGATGGCAATTTTTAGGCTGCACTAAATTATTTAATTATTTTAACAATTTTTAAATAAAACAATAATTTCAAGTACTAGTACTCAAAATAACTTAGTATTATCAAATAACGATGGTAAAATCAATACAAATAATTAAAACAATAAAAATAATAATAAAAAACAAAATTAAAAATACTTAAAATAATTATCAAAAAAAAAACCAATTAAAACATAAGAAAATATTAATTTCAATTAAAATAAATATTGAATTAAAATTAATTTTATTAAAATAAAAATAATTAAATAATAACTGGAAAAGAAATAAAAATTAAAAAAATATGAATTAAAAATAATCAATTTTAAATAAAGTAACTTGTTATTTTATTATAATAAACCAATGTACAAATAAACTTAATAATAATAAGACTTATTGTTTATTACTTATCGAAAAAATTCGATTCAAAAAAATTAAATTAAAAATTGTGAAATAAATTATTTTTTGAATAATCAATATATAATAGCAATAAATCGTATAATTAATTAAGACTATGTAAAATAAAAATACAATCAATTATTAATTCCATATATATAATTTTAATTAAACTCATTCTATATTATAATAATAAATCATTTACTTAATAAATTAAATGAAATAACATAAAAAAATAATAAACCATTAATATAAATAGTATTTATAAATACATATTTAATAAAATCAAATGGCAACTTATGGTAAATAAAAAAAACAATTTATAAAACCTAAATATTAAATATAATATCAAAACATGCATATTTAAAAAAAATTATTCAAATATAAATTATATATATTTATGTAATATAAATAGTAAAACTAATATTAAAATAAATGCCTAATAAAAAATACTACACACAAAATAAAAATACAATAAATTAAAAATTTCAAATAAATATTTAATTTTTTATTAAATTAAATTAAATGAAACTAAGAAATAAATTATTTTACAAATAATGAAAGCTTAATAAGATTAATATTAATATATTAATGTGAATATATATTAATAATATACTAATAATATAATTATAAATACTGAAATGAATCATGACTATTATTACTTGTGCATTGTTTAACTTTATCTTTTTATTACTCTTGATTATAAAATTAATTAAGATGGTCCTTAATTTTATTTAAGGCACAAATCTTTAAAAATTAATCAATTTTAGAAATATCGGTGAGGATCTCAATTTTTTATATGTAATTGTTTTTTTTTGTCCAGACTTCTATTATTTTTTAATAATAGATAATATTCTTATTATTAATTATATTAAAATAAATAAAAAAAACACTTATTTTAATTTTTAATATTAAATAATATAACTATTTTAATTTTATTATATTATATATATGGTAAATGATAAAAATTAATTATTTCTGCTCTTAATAACTAGTTTTCCTGATCATTCTTCATAATTTAATCTAACTTCATATATCGAAAATTACTTTACAGTCTTAGAAAATATTTGAGAATATGTTTAAATCACCGACTGTCATTATATTATGTTAGTATATTATGCTAAAATTTATATTAAACTTATTTTCGAAAGTGTGAAGACCAATCGAATATTTTATTCTTTTATTTTGCTAATAGACCCTATTTTCTCATTGCGATATTTCATATTTTGCTATGAATTGTTTTTCTAACTAGCAGATGTAGCCCTCACCTATTATTTTCAAATCTGTAGAAAAGTTTTTGTATAACATAATTATATTATTTGAATAGCTTGAAAACGGGACCAAGTGTGTGGAACGGGAAAAGGGCTATATTGGAAAATAATGTAAATCAATAAAATATATGCACTTTACTATATTATGCTAATAATAATTTTATTTCATTTATTTATTATTATTATTAGTAATATTTATTATTATTGATTTAAATTATTATTAAGACAAAAACCAAAAATAATGAAAAACACAAGTAATCATCCAAATATATTATGCTTATTACATATTATTACATTATATTTATCATAATAATTATAATAACAATAATAATAAATTATTATTATTATAATAATGAATATGAATAGAGACATGCAAACCTCAAAATAAAAATTATTATTGAAGTTTTTTTAAGAATTTTTTTTTTGTTCAATTAAATTCAAATCTTTATATCTTTTTATATTCTTTAAGATAAAATCACTTTCAACTTTTAAATTATTAAATTGTTTTAGGTAATTTATGCAAATATCCTCGTCCCTTATTTTAAAAAGCTTTTAAAATAAAATGTCAATAAAAATCGCAGAAAAATAAATAAATCTGACAAATGACTATAGCTTTCAAGGGCCAATACTAACTAATTTTAGATCTTAGATTTAATTCAACATATTTGAACATATGCAATAATTTTCTCTTATTTTGCAATAAATTTAAATTCAATTAGTACAATACATTTTTTTTATTTTAGTTTCAAATTTAATTCAATTTAATTCATCTGATTTAAACTTTTGCAAATATGTATTAATGTTTGCAGCTTGAACATTTGTTTTGTGATATCAAATGCGCCATTGTCTAATCAAAATAAAATTCCTTGAATTGCTCTTAGTCTTGACACCGTCAACAATAAATTTTATTCGAAGTTCGAACTAACTTAATAATATATATTATATTTTGTTGCAAATTTAAAAGAGGATTAGACAGTAAATACAAGCGCAATTACAAATTTCAAAATATTTATAAATAAATCAAATAGATCACTCAAGTATTATAGTATAAGTTAAGGTGCCCCGACTTATGGCTTTGAATATAAAAAAAAAATCTTTAAATATATAGTTTAATTATATATGTATATAATTTATATGCGTATATGACATATAAAGCTGGAGATATATTTTATGAGGTATTTAAAAAATATGACATGACAGTAAGATGATATGAAAGACATGACAGTAACCCAAATTCATACACAAAAACATTAGGGTTCCAGTAAAATTTTAATCTTTCATACACGAAAATATTCATGGATTTCTTTCTATATTATTAATGTTAATTTTTAATTTTTATTTATATATTTGTATTATTATTGATGGTTTTATTAGTATTAGTTATTTATGTCATCGAAAATATGTCATCGAACTTATATTTAATAGAAATGGGATTATTAATAACAATAATTAATTTTTTTGACTGTCTATACAACTATTCCGTTAATTGTATTTATATATTTATGCATTTATTTTAATATGTTAAATTAAATAAAAAACAACAATATATTAAAAGAACATCAAGTTAGAAGATAGGCTTTGGTGCCTATAAAATGTGAGTCTGATTTCGAAAAATTGGTGGGGTAACTTAACACTTGCAGTTCAAAATTTCTATACAAATAATTTAATTCAAAAAATTTTTACCAAAATCGGTGATAATATATATCAGAGCACCCGAAACAACTATATGGTCAACCAAAAAATTAAATTAAGTGAAAATTAATTAATTGAAATTAATTTGTTGTTGTATTTCATTACCATTCATCGAGTTTTCTTTTATAATAATTTCTTTATTTTATATTACTTTAAAGAAATTTAATTGGTTTTTTTTTATTATTATACTAATTCAATTTATACTTAAAAAAAATTATTATACATGTCAGTAAATAAAAAATCTTAAAAGTCATTTATTTAAAGGGTTCCGATTTGCTGTGGAACCCCGCTTTAGTGAAAGTAATTTTAGCATAAAATAATTATATTTCGACGTAGTTTTAGTTAAAATAATTTATGAAATGAATTAATTTAAATATAATTATATTTACTCGGAGATGAATGCAATAAATAAATATAAAAATAAACATATTTATTTACATATTGACATATAAAATAATTAAATTTCGACGTAGTTGCAAAATAAGATTTATATATTTAATTATTAAGAAAATATACTTTGATTTATTATAAAATCGTATGTATTTATAATTTATATTAAATATTATTTATTAATACGTATTATATGTATACCTCTAAAATTTTTTAATAGTTTTATAAATGGTTTTGGTCATTATATCTTAAATACACAATATATATATATATGGGGTAATAAGAAATATTTAATTTGATATAAAATTCTATTGAAGTCATAATAACAGTAATGATAACTGATAATAACAATAATAATGTTACTGATAATAATGATAATAACTGATAATAAGTTCACTAAAATCTTTACTTGATCTCTTATTTACTACTAAGTCTTTGTGGTACAGTTTGCCACGCTAAGGTGCTGATTTCTACTTACAACTATGGTAGACCATCCTTTATTAGAACCCTATTGTAGTTACGTTGAGTTGAGTTCGGAGGATTTCTAATGAATGATAAGGGCTCGCGTTGTGATCCTAATAAGATGCGTCTATCAGAGGGTTGTTCATGGACTCTGTTTAGAATCAAATGGGACCTCTACAAAATTTTTGTTGTATTTGGTTTTAATATGGCAGAGTTCTGGGTCTGGAACTCCTGCACATGTCTGATTATAAAAAATTTTATCGGGGGACAATTTTAGTTTAATTTGAAGGGATTAGTGATTTTCGTTTGGTTGTTAGCAGAAAAAATCTATGTCAGTCACGGGTGATTTACTTTGCTATCATATTTTAAGACCAGCAAGCAGAAATTGGTCTAACCATTCTTTACCAGCCAGATCAAAATTGACATAGTCCATATCAGAGATAGATATAATGAAATTAAACTGGGATTGTTTGTAAAAATTTCTATAACACTTGCTGAGACGCTAAAACACTTATAACACTGTTAAGCCTTAACCAGTAATGAATCCAGTAATTTTTTATTCCTTCAACAATATATCCAGTATTCAAATTGATCAATGCTTACAGCAAGTTCTTAAAAAAACTAAAAGTATAATAAATATTGAATAAAAATGATTTTTTTAGATAATTGATGAGAAGTCGATCCTCTAACACATCACGTACAAAAGATCTAGAACAGTCACCCCCCTCGACCAAATTGGGAATATAGTACAATACTTAGTGTATCCATATTTTATTATGTCATATCACTAAAATATCTTCCACGAAAGACATGTGAAACACTTACGTTTAACTTTTTGTATATATAAATTACTGAAGTCTATTAGAGTCCTTTATTGTATGTAGTATCGTTACACACTTCTGTTATTTTTTTAATTATAATAGTGATTTTTACTATAATATCTGTCAATCCAAAACATAATTGGGAAAATCATATAGCACACTGAAAAGTCTCTTTCCATATACTCCAATATACATACATACTTTATTGGAAAATATATATACAATTAAAAATAATAATAAAAAAAAATTAAAATAAAAAATAAAAATATACATTTAATTTAAATCCATTAATTCGATATATTTTAATTTCAGTTAAATTCCTTATTGGGACTCTACTGCTATTAGCAGTAGCATTGACGACGGTAACAGCTGAAGAGCAACCTGCACGCATAGTTTGCTATTTCAGTAACTGGGCTGTTTATCGACCGGGTATAGGTCGATATGGCATCGAAGATGTACCCGCTGAGTTGTGTACACATCTGATTTACTCATTCATTGGTGTGGATGAGAAAACTTGGGAAGTTCTTGTTATCGACCCCGAATTAGATGTTGATCAAAATGGTTTCCGAAATTTTACGCAATTGCGTCAAAAGCATCCAAATCTAAAACTTGAAATTGCTGTCGGTGGCTGGGCCGAAGGTGGTAAAAAGTACTCACAAATGTCAGCGGTACGTGAGAGACGCCAAAGTTTTATACGCAGCGTGGTTGATTTTATGAAGAAGTATGACTTCGATGGTTTTGATTTGGATTGGGAATATCCTGGAGCCACAGATCGTGGTGGTGCTTTCAGTGATAAGGATAAGTTTTTATATTTTGTACAAGAATTAAGACGTGCTTTCGATCGTGAAGGACGAGGTTGGGAAATCACAATGGCTGTACCAGTAGCTAAATTTAGATTACAAGAAGGTTATCATGTACCAGAATTATGCGAGTGAGTAGTAATAACTATATTTCTTATAAATATATATATTTTAATGGAAAATTGTTTTTTCGAATAGATTACTTGATGCTATACATGCCATGACTTACGACTTGCGAGGCAATTGGGCTGGCTTTGCTGATGTACATAGTCCATTATATAAACGTAAACACGATCAGTATGCATATGAGAGACTCAATGTGGTAAGTATTTTTATTAAAAATAAATTTTTACAAAAAAAACTGTCCCTTTTGGCTGATGCTATTTTGAGGTGTATTTCGAAAATACATTTTTTTACAATTTAATTTCAATATACTTTTTATTTTCGACAAAAACATGTAGTTTTCTATACCGAATTCTTTAAAAACATTAGTCGGGGAAATTAATATCTCGATAAGTAGATATGGGCTATTTACTTAAGTAAAGTAAAATGTTTGTTTCAAAATTAAATAAAAATTTAATAGAATTTTTATGTTAACATAGTGTCGACCTCAAGACCTTAATATTCTTGATTTTTATTTTTCTTTAAATTTAATTTAACTGTTAACAATTTTTATACATTTATCAAAAATCCTCACATTTCCATAGAATGATGGTTTAGCACTTTGGGAAGATATGGGCTGTCCAGCTAATAAATTAGTCGTAGGCATACCATTTTATGGCCGCACCTACACATTAAGTAATTCAAATAAAAACTACAACATGGGCACATACATTAATAAAGAGGCAGGTGGTGGTGCTCCCGGTCCTTACACAAACGCTAGTGGTTTCCTAGCTTATTACGAAATTTGTACAGAAGTAAATGATAAAGCAAAAGGCTGGACAGTTGAATGGGATGATCAAGGTATGGTACCATATACCTACAAAGATACACAATGGGTGGGATATGAGAATGAAGTATCGGTGCAAATAAAAATGGACTTCATTAAGGAGAGAGGTTATGCTGGCGCTATGACATGGGCTGTAGATATGGATGATTTCCATGGTTTATGCGGTCGTGAAAATTCTCTTATGCATATACTACATGATAATATGCGAAACTATCGCGTACCAGAACCAACACGCGAAACAACACCTAGGGTAAGTGTCTAACACAAATAAATCCACCAAGTGTGGCGAATAAATTATTTTTATCTAATTTATCAAAGCAGCACATACAAAATGAAATAATTTGTAAGTGCCGCTTGCCAAATTTGCTTAATTGCAAATGATTTGCTTATAATTTATTGTTTTGAGGTATTTTGAATTTTTCGCACTATTCTTTTTTAATTAAAATACAGCCTGAGTGGGCAAAGCCACCCGCAACACCGCCAAATCCGGATGAAGAAAATCTGCCCATTGCATCCACCACGAAACGTCCGATACCGAAACCACAACAAACAACAGTTCGGCCCACTGAAGCAACAACAACAACAAAAGTAAGCTACAAAAATATGTATTACATATACATATATGAGATATATATCTCTCTCTATAATTTTTTTGCTACAATATAATTTTATTAAACGAGATAAATTCTATTGGGGACCTTTAAGAAGTTAGATGTTAAAATTAATTATTTAATTCATGTTAAAGTAGGAACTTCGTATACTTTTATGTAAATAGAAGTATACTTTTATGTAAATGTAAATTATTATTATATATAATAATAAATAATTTTTTAATTTAGCAACACCTTATAGCATAAAAGTCATCTGTGCCAAAAAATTTCTCAGCCGCAAAATAGAAATTCTACTCACAAATACGGACCTTATTTTTAGTTGCCCTGCATTTGTATTAATAAGCTTCGTCAAAAATAGAAAATGTTGGAGAACTCAAAAAAAGATACATTTATGTAAATTCAGCAATAATCGACACTTCTATTGCTGCCAATAAAAATGTTAAAAAATTATGTGTAAACGCGAAAAATTTATTTTTAATTTAAATTCACGTTCGATTGAAAATGCAACAATTTATTTCGAGAATAAAGAAACTAAGTCAGAGTGCAACGAACGCTTCGTTGCATTTAAACAAAGTGCAAGAGAAAATCGCACTTGTTTGAACCGTTGACAGACTGACATCGACATTGACACTGAAATAGATCGAATATTTTATTGACATTTACCGATTTCTTTACATTTGATATTAAGTGTTTCGCATTAAGTGTTTTTTTCTTTCACTCTCTACAGAAACCTGCAAAAGTTTCAAAGAAACCGAAACCAAAACCAAAACCAAAGCCTACAACAAGTACTAGTACAACTACAACAACAACAACCGAAGCAGCTCTGCAAAAAGATCCAGAAATTACACAACCGGATCCAGAACAAAATGATGTCAACATTGATTGTACCAATAGAGATTATGTACCTCATCCAGATTGTCAAAAGGTGAATATTTATCCCAACTAAATATGATTAATAATATAATATATACATAAATACAACATATCTTTATCTTATAAAATGTATCTGTTATTTTTTTATATTGATTATAATTATTATTATTATAATTATTATTTTAATATTTAGTATTATCGTTGCGTACATGGCAAACCAGTCGAATTTGAGTGTAAAGAAGGTACCGCTTTCCATACAATCCTCAATGTTTGCGATTGGATTGAGAACAGCGATCGTTACTATTGCACCAGACTTAAGAAGAAAACTGTGGACAATGAAACAAAATAATTTTAAGTTAATTTAAATAATTTTATCATCAGAAATGTATTTAGTTTCTAAGGTTAATAAACAAAGACTTTAATAAATTATATTATTTAACAAAAATATATACGATATTCATTTAATTAAGGTTCTGTAGGTATTATCTTGGGAGATGAAAGCAAAAAGTAAGTAAGCAGCACCCATTTTTGACTAGTACCCATTTTATTCGTGGATTATCTTCTTATTTTTAGAAACATTTTATTTTCGTAAAAATAGGCTTAATATATGAAAAGTTAGAATTCCATAAATGAGTCCACGTTTATATCTTTCAATGATGATAACTTTTTGATTTACTATACTATTTTAGAGAATTTGCCTATTTTACTATATAGTGTCCTATTTACTTTACTGCATATTACTTGACTTACTAAATTGATTGGAAAATAATGTTAAAAAGAATTACTAGAGATTTGATTACCTTTAATTAAATATGTCCTGTGGCATATGAAGTTGTATAAGAAAAAAATTATAAAAGAAATCAAAGCTCCATTAGATCTTGAAAACCTATACATAATAAATGTTTAAAATGTATTTTCAAGTTTATTGTGTCAAAATACATATGATTGTTATGTTTAGCAATGAAACAGAGTACTCTGAGCTCAATGGATTGAGATGACATAGAGGTAGTAAAGTTCCTTAATACTTTTCCACTCTTTGCGGCATTAATTCCAAATCCATTTTAATAACAAGTAAAGTTGTTTAATACTTTAAACTAAATATTTTTGAAAGAAGTAATAAGATTCCTTAATACTTTTTCACTCTCTATGACACATATAACACTAATCCATTTTAACACCATGGTATAGAACAATTCTTAAAATATTTTAGTAAGCTTTTCTCCTCAATATAATAGGTAAAATAGTTTTTTTTTTGGTGCGAAGAGAAGGTCTAAAAATGCCTAAGACGCCGTTACTATGCTCTCACAATAGAGGTAAGCGCGAATTGCATGGATTAAAAACAATCCAGCTCCTGTAGCAGACCGTTTCTACTTCTCAACTTTATTGGGAATACTTCAAGGTGGAGTCCCTGTGTTGATTATCCATTAAAAAATGTATTCAATAGCCTGCGTCCAGGCCTTTTATTTGTATACCTTTTCTTCAAAATTATTAATTTACGAGATCATATTTTTTTCCGCTTAAATATGATTGTAGCGAAACGGTGTATGGCGGTTCAGTTTTCTTCAGAAAGCCTCATCTTCGTTGTGATATTTTCGACGTTTATTTCATCGACTATTGTTTCAATTGTAGTAGAAGAACATAGAAATTCCTTGATATTTTCGCCACTACCCTTTTTTTGCATCCCTAACACGTTTTTCACTAATTCATCATATATGGTATATCGCATATATACTAGATATACATATATACATCGCATACACTAGAAAACATAAAATACTTTATTTCTATATATTATTTGTGAAATAGTATATTATAGAAATTCTTTGAAAATCTTCCACTCACCTCTTTTGTTAGGTCTCACATATTTTTTACCAATCCATTTTATTAAAGTAGTGTATTATGATTATAAAACTCCTTCTGTGAATACAGGAGTTTTTGCAAAAAGAATAATTCGATTTTCAATTCATCAAGAGAAACAGTTCTTGATATTCTTGGCAGTAGGAATATATTTGTAGAATCTCTTTTAATTAAAATTACCAGACATGTTAAAGGTAAATCCCTAAACTAGGCAACAAAAAAAATATATGTAAAACAGAGTTATGGCGTATTCAATTGGTAAATATGGATTCAATCCAGATTTACTCTTGAAGTGCCCCAATTTTCTTGTTCAATCTTACATTTTAAAACTAATCTAACATTTTTGCAGTAATATTATTAGACATTTATATATTTTATTAAAACATATATCGAAGCAAATCATACTTTACTTTTCAAGTCTCTAAAACAGCCGTTAATATTTCAGGGTAATCTTCCTACCCTTCCAAAATATCTAGAGTGTTATAAATTAATCTCGAGTGTTATATATTTCATTCCAAGACTTACCAATCGAAATGAAATGAAATGAAATGAAATGAAAGAAGTGAATCTCGATTGAAGAAGTTACCTAAGATTTATTAATCGAGAACGACATTTGAATGTATTTTTAATACTAATATCAAACAAAATTGTTCTTATTGATGGGAGAGTCGTATCTTCTATCCAAATAGCTCATTGACACATTTTATTACTATACTTTCAATCATGATAATTTAAATGTTAAAATCAACTAATATGTTGATGAGGTAGATTTTTTTTAAAATATCTGTATTGTACGATCCCAAAAAATCATGATAATTTCAGCTTTTAAATAATGACTTCATCGTGGGGTCTTAACTTTAGCCGTTAGAACTATAAGGTTTTAGGTTGATGTTGATGAAGTAGATATTTTTAAAATATCTGTATTGTACGATCCCAAAAAATCATGAAAATTTTACTATTTAAGAAATGACTTCGTCGAGGGCTCTTAGCTTTAGCTGTTAGAACTGAAAGGTTTTGGGTTGAATTAACATCAACCTAAGTGAATTTTTTTTAAAAGATCTGTATTGTACTGTCCCAAAAAATCATCTTAGGGCTCTTAGCTTTAGCTGTTAGAACTGAAAGGTTTTATAAAATATTTATAAATCAATGTCTTTATAATATACATATATGAAAACAAAGAACATTCAAAACCGTTTTTGATACATTTTATTGTTGTCATAAAATCTACTTTACGTTAAATATATTTCGAATTATATTATAAACATTATATACTTAAAAAAAAATTATAAGGTAGGTGGAAAAAGTTCTTAAAGATATATATTATTAGCATGTGTCTTCTGTTTCTGACTCAGCTCACATCCGCTGCTTGCATAATTTTATTGCTCATACGCACCGAATGACACAACTTGCCTACTGTTCGATTTCAGTTTTTTTCAAATCAATTGATATGTTAAAAATATTATTTCTATATTTTATTCTATTTTATTTTTTTAAATAAATTAATATAAAAAATAACATTTTAATTTTAATATAAAATGACAGAACAATTTTGTGTTAGCAGATATAGTTCGAAAGATGAAAAAAATGACATGCCGAAACGTCTGATATTAGCACTTATCTTTAAAGAAGTATGATTTATGAGTCTTTTGAAGGAAAAGAAATCTTGAAGATAAATAGTAGACGGAATATTGAAGTATTAACTAATAAATTCCAAACAAATCCAAGAAATACATTAAAGACTAGAATATGTTAAATGTTTGAAAAGAAAAGAATTTTTATATATTTTTTATAAAAGTGCGACAGACCAGAACAAAACTGTCAACTCAAGGTTCTGCTATAAATTCATGTGATTTAACTTATTCAGAGAGATCCAATACCGCCATTCTTCTATTCTTCTCTTCTTCTATTTTATGTACTGATTAGATCGGGGTACATAATTTATTGCATATGTAATAAGCATGCAATATATTTGATTTGATTTGAGTGCAATTAAAGACCTGCGTGTACTTCGTGTCCTTTCGCAACTGAGATTTAGCAAATTTGATAATAATATTTCTTGAAAATTTATACGTTTAATTTAATTTAAACTAAAAATACATTTTGACGCTAATAAAATGTTAACATATTTGCCATGAATGTGACAATTTTTGAAGAAAATTTTACGTATGTATCACAGGCACAGGCGTATGCTCATGATAAATGGGCAGCAAATATTGTTTTTAAGCAGTGATTTCAATTGAATGAGTAATTATTTTATATGAATTAAAATAAATTTTTATGGTATTTATTTTAAAATAAGTATAATTTTATATATCAGAACAGCAATGTCCTGGAGAAGGACAGTTTAGTAGGAGACTGGCAAATCACTTAACGAGTTGAGAGGAATAGCACAAAATAAAAATCAATGGAAAACTTTTATGGACTTCTTAGCTCTGAATGGAGAATGGAAATAATAAATAATATAAATAATAGTTTTATATACATATTTAAAGTATAAAAATGTAGAGTTTTCATTAAAAACTTTGTTGAATATATACTTATAGTTCAATTGTTCTATAGGTAACGACAAGCATGCAACCCGCATCAGAGAAGATAAAATGAGATATGCATTTAAATACATTAATATATATAGTATTTATCTTTAAGTATCTTTAGGTACTATTGAAGATATTTCTAGATTGCAAGCCATAAAGGAAATGTAATTCAATACGTGCTCTTTCAGTATGTACTTGAAATTTATTTAATAATACAAAAGATCTCAGAAAAGTACTGGATTTCCATTGCAGTTATT